TATCATTGAGTGTCAATTTGCAGGTTTTATGCACATGTATGCAAGCAATTCACGATTTCTATCGTCGTTATTGATTGACCCAAATTAGGTTAACTTATTCATACATTTTTTGGTACCATAACCTGATATTCCCTACCTCTCGACCGTCTCTGGCGCCAGTTTACACAGCCTGCATATTTACTTCTCGCGTATTTGCGTGATGTCGCAAGCGCATTCTCATCGCACTGTCCATATGTAACCACCATGTCCACATATTCTGTATAGTAGTAACTTTGCCAATCGAAAAGTATCTTCGGAGTGCTGGCTACTACTACAATTGACTTGACTGTGTACCAGCTGTTGCGAAGGTCACGAATAAGTATGATTTCGTCATTTGACGCTTGCAGTAACGAAGGCCGATAAGATAACATGACTGCCTCATTGATAACTGTTCTCAATGATTCACGGCTTGTTAATTGGTTCATACTTTTTGTACTCCCTACCGTATGGCACCCTACACTGCCTCCAGATGTTATATTTAAAATATTCCTCAATACTGATCATAGTGTATATTACTATTTATCATTTTCCAATTGAATAAATGCCAAGTGAACAGTATAATTCTTATCAGTATTTTAGTAAAAGTTAGAAATGTTCGCAATTTTTTTTAAAAAGTTTTATTTCTACTATTGAATCCGTAGGATGAAGGATTTATTACCGAGATTCATCATGTAACTGAAGAAGGAGAAGATGCTGGTGTTGTGTACTGTGAAATGCAGGGAATAGAGAATTCTGGAGAGAGGAGAGTACATTTAGCAATGAGAAAAGCAATTTATCCAGAAAACTGTGGATATAGTGCAGAAACAGGAGGTAAAATGAAAAATTTGCGGGAATCTATCACAAATGCAAAAGTAATTATATCGTATTTAATACGTAATCGAATGTAAATATTGTGCAATAATTATAGATCAAGGCATTCCATAAAAACTTTTACCGACCAGAAAATTTAAAAATAATAATTGCTGGTAAAATACAACATGATGATTTGTTTAAAGCATTAGCGCCAGTAGAACAAAAAATTTTATCAAAGGTGGGGTGACGCATACCAGAAAACCAATAGTTCTCTTGTATCTTTCGGAGAGTCTTCTCTAAAACAAAATGCCCTAATTCATCAGTTTACTTCAGTCCCTGAAGAAGGTCACTTTGTTACCGAAAAGTGCTTCGGACAACTACAGTGTCGTGTTT